GGCCTGTCCTCACTCAAGCGCTCCGCGCGCCGCCTCCCCTTCGCACAGAGCTGCGGCGGGAGCTGAGCGAGCCCAGAGGAGGGCCCGGCGGACCGGATCCCCCTGAAGAGGAGTAGGCTAGGGGCTGCTCTCCGTTCGGGGGTGGGAGGGGAACCAGACCCCGGCCCACAGGGCCGACTCGGGCGTTAGCCCCTTGGTGGCTCCTGTCCCCCGGACAGTACAGGCAGGGCAGGCACCTCCAGATGACCAGTGTGTTCCTGCGCTCCGGGGATCTTCCCAGCTCTCCCATTCCCTCCCTTTCTCTCCGCTCCCACCAGGATCCGGGAAGAAGCTGAGGCGCAGGTCCCCTTCCCACACAGCCCGAGACACTGCTCTTTGGTGGGCGTCTCTGCCCGTGGGAATCTCCCTCCGAGTTTTTCCAGGCTCGGTTGGGTTGCGCCCTGAAAGGTCCTCCGGAGGGCGGAGGTGGGCCCGGAACGGGTAGTACCGGCCATCCGGCTGGAAAGGGCACGAATCTGATGATTCAGGGTGCAAATGGCCTTACTCGGAATGGGGACGCCCGGAGGAGACAACCTGCCCCAGGAGGGCATTCCCAGAGCCGCTCACCCGCGGGACTCAGGGGCTCGCGGACATCAAATCCCGCGGCTGGTGGAGGCGGGACAGGAGCGGGTCCCTGAGTCCTCTCACTACCCCCCCCCCCGCGCCCCTTCAGACCCAGCCCTCCCGGCTCCCGCCCCTCCCGCATGCCTTCGCTTGTTCTGGGCCCTGTCCTCGATGCACTCCCAAAGGCCCTGGGACAGGCATTATGGATCCTCCTTGTCCTCCCAGGCACAGCTGCATTGGAAATTGGGGACAGCCCTCCTGAGTGTCCCTTTTCTCCTTCCCTCCCCTTGCCAGCTCCTGCTCCGCGCAGTCTCTCCAGCCTTGCCATTGGTAGCCCCGCCCAAGGAGATGACAGAAGCCTAACCTGCAGCCCTTCGCCGACTCCGCCCATCCAGCCCATGGGCTCCCAGAGGCCCGCCCAGCTAACGTGAGTGCGCAACTGGGATTCAAGGGAAGGGAACGTGGGTGGCGGG